ACATTGACGAATATATAATTTATTTTTAGATTTAACGCTCACAGTACACGTAATATATTAACGTTCACTAGAATAAATTTAATTATGATTTTGTACAATAAATTTACAGATGATGGGAGGATGATTCATGTTGTTGTTATTAATGAAAAAAAATGTTATTGCTCAAGTAACTAATTAAAAATACGTCATTGCTCAATTATTAAAAATACCTGTTATTGCTCGATTAATTAATTAGAAAATACTTGCTATTGTATTTATTAGTAATATTTACGTTTCCTGGGTACAAAATCCTTCTAATTGGGGAAAAATCCTTCTAAATAGGTACAAAATCCTTCTAGTTGCGGAAAAATCTTCTATCTAGGTCAAAAAATCCTTGTAATTGGGGAAAATCCTTATAAATAGTACAAAATCCTTCCATCTAGGGAAAAATCAGACATTTAGGGTAAAAACAAGATGGCGGGAAAAACTTATCAGGAAGAGACGAAAGTTGGGGAGGAAGTTTGGGAGTGAGAATGACCTTTATTTACCACTGTGAAGTTTTATAGACAGTGAGAGATTGTGAGAGAAGAGAGGGAGAGAGAGAGAGAGAGAGAGAGAGAGAGAGAGAGAGAGAGAGAGAGACTATTAGAAAAATTTGATCTTTATTGCTAAACACAGGTTCATACTAAGTCAAGACGACAGACATAAGACAGAAAGACATACAGACTAACAGACATCCAAATATACAAGCATAAAGATCCAGACAGACAGACATCCAAACAGACAGACAGACACACATCCAAACAGACAGACAGACAGACACACATCAAACAGACAGACAGACAGACACACATCAAACAGACAGACAGACAGACAAGGCAAACAGACAAACATAGACAGGCAAACAGACAGACAGACAGACAGACAGTAAAAGTATAAAATAATCTTATCTGACTCGTCTGTTACACGTAATAAAACTGCTGACTCATTCATCTTTATTTGCTCGCATATTTTAAAATGTTTTTCGTAAATAAAAATTAAACATTCATTTAATTTGTCATTCCGAAATAGTTCAAAAAATGTAAATTGTTCATTATCATAATCACATGTGCATTTTGTGTGTGTGTGTGTGTGTGTGTGTGTGTGTGTGCGTGTGTGCGTGTGTGTGTGTGTGTGTGTGCGTGTGTGTGTGTTATAAAGGACTGACTGATCCTCTCTTTCAGCTGAGGCTTTTCACACATATAATTCTCTCCTCTCTCATTCCATCCCATCTCACTGCCCAAATACGGAATGGCCTCCCTCTCTCTCCCTCTCCCTCTCCCTCTCTCCCTCTCTCTAACACACCATAAGCTATACAGTGCACATAAAGCTGGTCCAGGTCTTAAGGCTTCTTCTCCCTATCTTAATCCCCATCTGATCTCCCTTATGGCTCGTCTCCCTCCCTGTTTTTGTCTCCCTATAACACTGTCTTCTCTCTCATTTCGCGCGTAAATAAAATACATATAAAATCCCTGTTACTTTTAGGTTTTTGTTCGGTATTAATGTTATGGGTTTTATTAGCGTGTTTGGTGATGGTTCGATGTGTTGTGGTATTTTATAGTCGATGGGCTGATGTATTAATAGATGAGGTTTATAGTTTGTATATAGTTAAGTTTTATATATAAGTTATTCTATCTGTTTAATTTGTATAGGACTAATCATATAAGGTTAATTATGTAAGTATGTGTTAGATATTTCAGGTAGTTATCATAGATGTGTATTACGTCACATTACTGCACTGTATTACGTCACATTACTGTACTGTATTACGTCACATTACTGTACTGTATTACGTCATTATTACTGTACTGGTGTAGAAAGTATTACATTATTACCGAGGCAAAATGTGTCGTAGTATTACCTTCATAAATATTGAAGTGAATATTACCCCCGTGTGTGACTGTAATTAAGGAAGTGTTTTGTATTTATCCTCCACACACACACACACACACACACACACACACACGTACGTACATCATCGTCTTGAAGAATTCCCAGAACTAACATAAATTTCGCCATCTTGCCTAATGACCTCTATTACGTAAGATTACACAAGTTATGACTGCGAGAATAACAGCTCTGTCGGGTGACTGTACTGCTGTAATAGACTGGCTGACCGCTGCAGTACCTTGATCAGTTAGTACTGTAGTAATGTTTGGTTCTCACGCTACTGTGCCTAATGTCCACCTGTTCTGAGGCGATCACCTGAACCGTCACCCCCCCCTCACCTTAACCTAGCCTAACCTCCCCCTCAGGTAGTGTCAAGGTGTTTAATCATCAGGTAGAATAAACTAAGGTGGAGCCAATCGTCCAGAGATCATTGTGAGGCAGCCAGGGGAGTTTTATGGCTCTTAATGCATGGCTTCTGGGGGAGGGAGGAGCAAGAGAGTTATGATGGGGGGTGTAGGGAGTATGGTGGGGGCTGGGGAGCATGGTGTGGGGGTGAGGGGCTGGGAGGCGGTGGGGGGGTGAGGGGGAGCAGGGGGGGTGAGGGGCTAGGGAGTGGGTAGGGGTGAGGGGGTGGGAGCATGGTGGGGTGAGGTGTAGGGAGTATGGTGGGGTGAGGGGGCTAGGAGCAGGGAGAGGGGCCAGGAGGCTGCTGGTGGGGGGTGAGGGGGCTAGGGAGTATGGGGGTGGGGGTGAGAGTCAGGGAGCATGGTGGGGGGAGGGGGCTAGGGAGTATGGTGGGGGTGAGGGGTAGGGAGCATGGTGGGGGTGAGAGGGTGTAGGGAGATGGTGGGGCAGAGGGGGGGGCTAGGGAGTATGGGGCAGAGGTGGAGGGGGGGGCTAGGGAGTATGGTGGGGTGAGGGGGGCAGGGGAGCATGGTGGGGGTGAGGGGGTGTAGGGAGTATGGTGGGGGTGAGGGGGGCTAGGGAGCCATAGATCTTATTGATACATTGAGACAGATTTAACATTCCCTAGAGTGGAGTTGTGTTATCGTTTTCCATGTGAGAGAGAGAGGGGGGGGGAGGTGGAAGAAAGAGAGAAAAGGGAAGGGGAGAGAGGGGAGGGAGAGGGGAGGGGGGGGGCAGCGAAGAACAGATGGTGACGGAAGGACGTCGGGGGAGGGCGAGATAATGATCACTCCTGCGGAGATCTCCCATGACCCCCCATGTGTAGGGCGTCAGGAGTACCTAAGGAGAGATCAATTACATACAGAGGTCGTGTCTGTCTGGACATGGTAATGTGTGGTCACCGGTGTTGAGGATACAGAGACTCATAGTATCGACCACGGAAACAATCATGGCTCGCCTGGGATTGGTGACAGTGTCAACTCATAGGGTGTGTCGACCTTTAAATCACCAAGTAGTAAAAACAGGGAGGAAGTAGACGGACCAGAGACAGAAGACCATCTGTCAGCCGGTGAGTTAGGTAGAAGGTCGAGAGAACACAAAGTGTATGTGCGCCGCAGGTGGCGCTGAACAGCAACTACTGTACTCGCAGAGGAGAGGTCACGTTAAAAAGGTTAAAAGAGACACCCTGAGAGGTACAGTATCTATAAGAGTATCCCCTGGGGGGGAGGGGTAGAGTACAAGCCAACCATGGTCTCCTGCAGCTTTCCCTTAAGCCACGGAGATGAAGGAGATGGAACAGTGTTATTACTCATGGGGCTTTAAAGTGCCCTTAGACAGGAGCACCCACTATATTCTTGCTCCGTCTGTAAGCAGTGGACTTCGCTGAGGAAGAAGAGGGATCCGAAGTCGACGGGCCCGTCACTTGCCCCACGACAAGTCATCCCAGGGATGATCTCGCAAGACCTGCCTCCAACGAGGGAGTATCCCCAGGGGCCTCAACACCAGAAGCATACAGCAGAGAGATAGCTGGAGCCACTGGGAGGATGGTGACAGCACTGAGACCCACCAGTGTCGTGAAGGCCCCCCATTCCTGCACCACGTCGACCAATGAAGCACCACAAGCGGCCGAAACTGACAGTGACTTACAATTAGGTGAAAAAAATACCAGGGTTCCCCCAAACACTAAAATTTGCCTGTAAAAAAAGATGCCATGGCTTTAGTCTTGGTTAGGTTAGGTTGACATGTGAATAAAAGGTTCTCCTGGGGTTAGGTAGGATTAGCTAAGGTGCTTTAGTTCAATTGTGTTTGTTACCCTATAAACTTGATCATTTCCTTGAGTAATGTAATTATAAAATACGTAAATTAAAACTACAGTAAACTATGGTTACCTCGTCATTGTGTTCGTTTTTAATATTTATTGTCAATTGATTAGAGTTATCTGAATCACACATGTCATTGGCTTCCCTGACATTGTTATCCATCTCCCACTATCGCTGGAGCAGTCAGACACACACACTCACAGACAGACACACACACTCACAGACAGACACACACACTCACAGACAGACACACACACGCTCGCAGACAGACACACACACACTCACAGACAGACACACACACTCACAGACAGACACACACTCACAGAGACAGACACACACACTCATGACAGACACACACCCACAGACAGACACACACACCTCACAGACAGACACACACACTCACAGACAGACACACACACCCACAGACAGACACACACACCACAGACAGACACACACACACTCACAGACAGACACACACGCTCGCAGACACACACACACACACTCACAGACACACACACACTCACAGACAGACACACACACTCACAGACAGACACACACACACTCACAGACAGACACACACACACTCACAGACAGACAGACATCTTTTTTTTCCTAATATCTTGTATTTCTGTTACTCAGAATATCCAGCTGACTGACACTAAAGAAAAAAGTTGCTAAATGATGCTGGGAATATATGGAAAGTTAATGGAATACAAAACAGATGAGTGTATATATGAACAGCATTTACGTGTTGAGCTAATGTGAACTGGAATGACAATTATATTGAATATCTATCTATCTATCTATCTATCTATCTATCTATTTAATTATATATCTAATTGTGTATAAAATAATAAAGTGAGCTTAAAATGTCTGTATTTTTAATTAACAAATTCTACAGACATTAGTACACAAATTATACTAATAACTTTACAATATTTGGAGTAATAATGGATTAGTTATATGGGTATAATGTAGTGAGATATATGAACCACCATGGCGGGTTAGTAGTACTGTATATTAGTAGAGATGATGAGGGGTGTGTGGCTCACTAGGATGGCTGGTCCAAGCTTGGTGTCTCCTCTTGAGAGTCAGTTATGGTGGTGACATCAAGTAGTGGACGCACAGGTGGTGTAATGCTGAACATTCCCTGCAGCTGGTGGAGGGAGCAGCCACCTGTCTCTGGCAAGAAGATCCACACAACTGCCGCCATAATAGAGTTGAAAGCAGCGAAGACCAAGAGGCTTCCCCCAGTGCCCGCTAACCTCGCCAACTCTGGGAACACGAAGCCCACCAGAAACAACATCAAAGCAAAGAAGAAGGTGGTAATGGATGCCCCAATCGACCTGACTGGAGTAGGGAGCAGCTCGCCCAGCAACACCCAAGGTATGGGACCAACACCCAACCCATAGGACAGAACGAATACCAGGACGGCAGCCAGAAGTATCCATGACGACCCCTGTATATCCACCAGGAGAAAGACACCACCGATGGCAGCTGAGACGGCACAGCCAACACTGGTAGTGATCAAGAGAGGTCGACGCCCGATTCTATCTAAGAAAATAGCAGACACGCCGGTGGCCACAAGACGAGCCACACCCACCAGGATAGTGCAGGTGAAGGCGTCGAGATGCAAACCCGCATACTGGAAGAGGTAGATGGTATAGGAGAAGACGGCATACTGGCCTCCAAGCTCCCTCAGGGTGAAAACCGCCACCAACAACCCCACCGGCTTGAGGTGATGAGCCGCCCATAGCTGCTTCACCTGCATTATAGGGGGTAAACATTCATTACCCTGGAGTGAAAAAGAGAAACAGCTACAAAATTACATAGGAACTAATTTCTTCTCCCTAATAACCACTTCTCTCCGATTCACTGACATCATTCTATATATTCTCCCTTTATCTGGTCTGTGATAGCGGTGTGGAGAGGTACACAAGGAGTCTAAAAGTGGTCTACAATCTTACCTGGTCTTTAACAGTGGTCTGGGGATGTTCCTGAATGCTCCTGCGTATCTGAGGCAGTTCGTCCTTCTGCCTGTATCTGGTGGATCCCCGGATCTTACGTAAGGACCTCTCGGCCTCCTGAATCCGACCTCGACGCACCAACCAAAACGGAGACTGTTGGGAGTGTCATCAGGAGGTTACAGGGTGTTATTTTACCCATACACCACCACCATATACCTCTACTTCCCCCTCCACCACCATATACAGTACCTTCCCTGCCTCTTCCTCCTCTACCACAACACCACCTTGATACACAAACATGCTTCCATTCTCCTCTCACACTGTTAAAGAGGCCTACACTTACACCAGAGCAACACCTAAGTACACACACACACACACACACACACACACACACACACCTACCTCTGGCACAGCAAGCGTCAGCAGACAGAGTGGCAGAAGAGGCACAGCAGACACCGCTGTAGCCACCTGCCAGGAGAGCTGATGAGCCTGCAGATAGCCCAGCAGCAGACCAGCAGACACCATAAGTTCTGGCAGGGAGCACAGCAGACCACGGTAGTCAGGCTCCAACAGCTCGGCCAGGAGAGGACAAGTGATAGTAGTGATGATGCTAGCCAGCATGGACCCCCCCAGGCGACCCACGTATATCATGGCCAGAGACGGGGTAAAGGCTTGCAATAACCAGAATACAGTGGCAGGCAGCAGCAGCACCGTCAGCAGTCGTCGAGGACCCAAGGTCTCCATCAGCGTCCCAGCACACAGGTTTCCCGCCATCCCCGCCAGGCCGGTGCTCGATACTGCCAATGGTCGATGGGGTAGGTTACGTTAAGGTAAGGAGACGAGGAAGGTAGAGGGTGGATGAAGAACAGCAACAATAAGAAGGAAAAGAACAAGAACAAAAGTGGATGAAGACGAAGAAGTTAAGTTAAGTTAAGTTAAGTAGTTAAGTTAATCTTTTCGTTGTGTTTCCCACACTTGCCATTTTATTCTGGCTACCGCCAGACGATTTTCTTTAATTTAGGGGAACCTCCTGTAGCCAAAGAGCTAAGTTAAGTTAAACTAGTTAGGTTAGGTTAGGTTAGGTTTGTGGTTAAACAACTTTACTCTTGGGTGGTAGAGATGCATAAAGGAAGGCATGGAGGGGGGGGGGTGGAGGGAAAGGGGAGAGGGATGGGGAGAAGGGGAGAGGGATGGAGGGAAGGGGAGAGGGATGGAGGAGGGGGAGAGGGTTGAGGAAGGGGAGAGGGGTTGGAGGAGGGGAGAGGGTTGGAGGAAGGGGGAGAGGGGTTGAGGAAGGGAGAGGGTTGGAGGGAAGGGGAGAGGATTGAGAAGGGGGAGGGTTGGAGGAAGGGGAGAGGGATGGAGGAAGGGAAGGAGCAAGACATTCACTGAGTGTATAACGCTAATAATAATAACACTAATAATAAATCTATGTTAGTTAAGTCAACACTTGAAGAGTATCAATGTGAGACAATATACACCAGACTATAATTAATATATGTCCTTGTAATTAACACACGTATCTCATCCACAGGAACCACACAACCTCAGGTAACAAGAGACAATCAACATTAATAAACAACATAATAATCAAGTCTCACAGGTAAACTAAAAACTCCATAACTCATAAAAAAAAACCATTTGTGATTACTCATTGATACAGAAAAATTAATTAGTCTTAGGTAGAGATAAATAATGCCTAAAATTAGCGAACAAAATCACAACAAAATACAAAATCCCAACAAAATATCTATCTCAGTGGGATTATTGGAACTACTTCTTGTCCACAGGCTGTTGATATCTGGGATGATGACTGGGAGGACGCACAGGTACATTTCAGACACCACACCACACCACACCACACCACAAGCAGCGTTAAACTCCTAAGTGCTACAAACTCTTATAGGAGAGGTCTATGATGGTGATCTTTTCATTTCATCCATTATATTATGTTATTTATATAAACTCAGAACATGGTAATATATTGATGCATCTCTGTGCCTCACCAGTCTAGCTGCAGAGTGAAGATGGTTTACGAGTGTCATGTACCTACTAATCCGCCGCAGGTGCCTTTCACCACCCACAGGCGTCTCTAACCACCCACAGGCGTCTCTAACCACCCACAGGCGTCTCTAACCACCCACAGGCGTCTCTAACCACCCACAGGCGTCTCTCACCACCCACAAGCACCTCTAACCACCCACCTGAAGAAGGCCGCCCACACCCGCACCTGCAGTACTCACCCAGCCACTTGACATCATTGTCGGTAAGGTTGAAGGCAGTGGTGTTGTCAGCCTGTAGTTCTGGCAACACTGCAGGCCATCCCATTACCAAGCCGACGTGTAGCATCGTAGACGACACCACCAAGGCGCATGCGACCTGTGACAAGGAGACGAGGAAGGTAGAGGGAGAATAACAACAACAACAACAACAACAACAATAATAAGAAAAAGAACAAAAGTGGATGAAGATTAAGATGCAGGAGGATGAGAGAAGAGGAAAAAATCGAGAGAACAAGAAAATTTGAGGAAAAAAAAGACAAGAACAGAATAATAAACACGAAAGACTGACATTGATGGTTATAGCAAGAGGAGGAGAAGAGAAGAAGAGGAGGAGGGGTAAGAAGAGGAGGGGAAGGAGAAGGAGTAAGAGGATGAGGAGGAGGGGTAAGAAGAGGAGGGGAAGGAGAAGGAGTAAGAGGATGAGGAGGAGTATTAAGAAGAGAGGAAGAGGAGGAAGCAACAACTAAGCATCGTGTGATAAAAGTGGTGGTCCGGTCAGGTGACATTCTCAGTGGTATCAAGACCTGTTCTGCGAGTCTCAGCAGCAACCCTCCTCCCCTTCACCAGGTTCGGTTCACCTGTGGGTTCTGTTCACCTGTGGGTTCGGTTTACATGCTGGTTTGGTTCACATTTTCAGATTTGTCCCTCGTGGAGCTAATTTAATGGGCAGAGTTGAGCATCAATGTGTTCACAGAGCTCAACAGGGAAGCATGCTGTGTTGACCTTCCCTAGACATTGGTGATCCTACAGAAGCACCAGGTGTCTCCGTCGAGCAAGTGAGTTGAATTCTACTGAAGGATCAACATTAGTTAACTGGTGACACACATGCACGCACACACACGTCTATACCCATTAATAAGAAAAACACACACACACACACACACACACACACACACACACACACACACACACACACACACACACACACACACACACACACACACACACACACACACACACCATGACCTTCAAGACATATTGCTGTCATTAAATAACTCACGATTCAGTACCGTGTGACTCAGTACTGATCCTTGCCTTACTCTAACTCCGTGACCATGACTCACCTGTCGGATTATGGCGCCCCAGCATCGTGGCTCACACGGTGTTGACTCACTCATCCTCCCTGACTCAGCTGGTGTAAGTTCACCACCAACTGCAGGAGGGAGACACGTGGGACTGCTGTAGAAGGTCGCACAACACAGAATAAAATCAAATTACTTTCATAACAATATCCTGAATATTGAGAAAACCCTCAGTGTACAGCATCTCTCTATAGCTACTTGTGTCAACCAAATAATTAACATCTCACCTCAACACATTTATTAAAACAGTATAAGTAGACAGTTAGTACTTGTAAGTTACTTATTATTTATAGTGTTGCAATGAATATAGAGTTACTTACTTCTTCTTCTTCTTGTTTATCAGTAATGATACAGTCACGTAGTAATTCAATTGTTGTTGTTTTTTTTTTAACTTTTGACAAAAAATGAAACAGTAAAGTCGCTTGGCCTGTTCAGGGGTGGAGGTGGGGTGGAGGTGGGTGGAGATGGGGTGGGGATAGAGGTGAAGATGGGGTGGAGATGAGGTGGAGGTAGAGGTGGATGGAGGTGGGTTGAAGGAGGTGGGTTGAAGGAGGTGGGGTGAAGGAAGTGGAGGTGGGGTGAAGGAAGTGGAGGTGGATGGAGGTGGAGTGAAGGAGGTGAAGGTGGAGAGGTTATTATGTAAGGGGTGAGGACTCCCTATCAAGCGGTCACCTTCAATCACTACTGTACCTCTCAGAGTCGCATTATATCTCACAGCCCATCCCCACAGCCCGTCCCGACAGCCCATCCCAAGAGCCCGTCCTCACAGCCCATCCCCACAGCCCGTCTTCAGAATCCATCCTCATTGCCAAACCTTACAGCCCCTCCTAACAATTTATTCTAACAAGCATTTATATACCTAATTGACTATTAAATTTTTTGGTATGTATGTATGTATGTCTATCTTCCCTTAATTCAGGATTATGTATGGCTTTCTAATTACAGGTTGTAGTGTGTGTGTGTGTGTGTGTGTGTGTGTGTGTATCAGGTAAGCCGAGTCATTTACTTACCTGCTTGGCTGAAAGTGTCGTCCTCTTTTTGGGTATCTGGAGTCCTTCCACACACACCAGCGTCCCCACACACACCGGCGTCCCTCTAGGCACTAATTTTCCTCCTCCACACACACTGACGTCCCTCCTCCTTTTACAGTGCCTCTGCACACACTGGCGGCTCACAGTGATGAAGACTCCCCCCTTGTCTTACTACAGTCCTCTGAGACACTGATGTTCTCCCACACACTCACCTCGTGTGTGTGTGCGTGTGCGTGCGCGTGCGTGCGTGCGTGCGTGCGTGTGTGTGTGTGTGTGTGTGTGTGTGTGTGTGTGTGTGTGTGTGTGTGTGTGTGTGTGTGTGTGTGTGTGTGTGTGTGTGTGTGTGTGTGTGTGTGTGTGTCTTTGCTGAAACCTGTCTATATACCGTTGACTGTGTGCATGTCTGTCAGTCTCGGTTACTCTGACACCTGTCATAGTGTCTGTCTCTTTGTCTGCCTGTGTCTGTTTCGTTTACTCTCTCTCATTTTGTCTCTGTGTCAGGGTCTCCGTCAGTTAGTTGGTGTCTATCCATTATCTATTCGACCTACTTGGTTAACCAACTTTCCATCTATCTGTCCATCCATTCATCTATCTATTCTTCCATCTATCTGTTCTTCCATCTATCTATCCATCCATCTATTTATCTTTCCATCTATCCATCCATCTATCCATCCAACTCTCCTTCCATCTATCTATCCATCCATCCATCTATATCGTTCCATCCATCCATCTATCTATTTTTCCTTCTATCTATCCATCCATCCACCTATATCTATCCATCCACCCATCTATCTGTTCTTCCTTCTATCTATCCATCCATTCATCTGTCTATCTACTTATCCATCCATCTAGCTATCTTCCTTCCTCCTGCGAGGTCACTTACAGGGTCAGGAAATTCTTCTTTTTATTATCTTTAAAAAATCTGAGGCAAATGCACTCATTTCCACCATAAGATATTGACCATTCAAGTTTATGTTTGGCATACATTAACCCCTTGTGTAAAGGGACGCCAATTTTAATGTTTTATTTGGTTAATGCCAGACGATTTTATTCAGCAGAGACGGGATCCTGTACACAAGTGGTTAAGAATTGAATCAAACTCGCTGACTAAAGTTTATAATGAGGTGGAAAGAATGATTAGAATGCTGACAGAAGGATCACTATACAAATGGAAACTTCAGGTCAGAAAGTTTTGAATGACAAGGAAAAATTTTAGCACACATTGGAAAGTTAACATTGCAAATGGAAAATCCAAAATGAAACATAAAAGTTTAGAACTCAAGTTTAAAGTTTAGAACACATAATTAGTAGTCCAAAGAGCAGTTTAAATGTTTAGAACTCAAGTTTAAAGCATAGAATGCAATTGGAAAGTCCACAATTAAAATAGACAGTTTAGAATGCATAAAAAATTAAAGCATGTCAAACAAAACATAGATTGAACAATAGTTAAAAAAATTTGGATCATAAAAAAGTCATCCTTTTGAGGAAGATAATATTTAGTCCGTCTTTTATCCAATGCCAGGTCACACTCGGTATTGTGAGCCATCCAGAGGAATGGGGTAACCAAGCTGTATGTCCTGAAGGATAAGAAAATAATTCCTAGAAGCAGATGTAATGAGGATAGCAAGACACCTTACCCAGTCCATGGTGAAGAGAAGGTTAGTCAGAGACCAGTGTTGGGTGTAGAAGAAAAAAGACTCCCAGTGTCTAAGTAAGCCACCCCAGTCATGTGTAAAGTCAAGGGTTGGAGTCCCAAGCAGTTATAAAATCTTTTGTTTCTCACCCGGTCACATATATGATCAAAAGCTTCCACCAGGGGTGCCAGTAATAACAGAACAATTCACCACTGCCCGGGTCATGTCCCGACACACTGAATAATCATTGGTCTTGATTTGCCAACTGTATAATACTATACAGTTCAGTACTAATAATACCACAGCCAAGCCACACATGTTAGAGGAAAAATCTATGCTTTTAAATAGCTGTAAATTTACTACTGTATTTAATCAAATCTATACACTAGGTTAATTATATATATATACAGTAGTATATTAATATCTTTGTTATACCGCTTGGCATCACCCTTTCTATAAAACTAACAAATAAAGGCCTAAAAGTATGGCTGTAAGTTGCAGAAATAATACTTCAAACAAAATTTCATTTAACAAAAGATGTTATTTGCACACAAGTATTGTAAACCTTGTGAGGTGTGACACATTTGTGTTTTAAAGTTTGTCGTCACAACATGTGAAGGAGTGTTTACAAGCAGACCAGCCAAGTACAGTACTATACATGGTGATAATTCTTGTTTTCTCAAATGTCATGAAATTGTAATTTTTCATAAATAAAGTTTAGAAACATTATGAACTCTTGACCGAATTTCTCTTTTAGGTAACATTTTATACAATATGAATGACTTTATAATATAACTTATAATATATCTATAGGGAGACAGATTCTGGTAGGTCTTACATTCTCTCTCCTATATATTATTAATAATACTAACATCAACTACTGCCTACATAATATATACATTAACAAATTAGTACGTACTATGATGATTATACTGAATAAATATTACTTTATTAATATTATTATCATTACAGTATTACTATCATTATGTGTTATTATTATTACTGTACTATTATTATTATGTCTCCGTTAACTGGAGTAATTGTAGCAGAGCTCTTCCAAGGATTATTCCAGGTACTGTACTTGGAAAGTTTTTGAGACTTTTACAGAAATTGTGCATTATTTCATCTTTGGAACTTGCTCCCAGACCCAGAAAAAAAAACATTGGAGAGAGTTTCTGCAAGTTTTCTAAAAAATTTCTAGAAAATTTGCCTGATTTTCAACCTCAGAAACTCGTTCACAGAGCCTGGAATTCAGAGAATTTTCTGAAAAAATTACAAGCCAATTTCAATTCCGGGTATTGGAGAGTTCCAGCTAACGAGGATTTCGGCTACCAGAGATACAGTATTATTTTGTGTATATTGTAGAAATACATATACAGATATATATACAGTACAGGTATTTATGCACTAAAGTAATAGAGTAAAATAAAATTTTCTGTAAGTTATTAAAACTCTACATTTTCCTGAAAAAGTCGAAATTATCTTAAGATTAGATACCTCAGCTTATTCACCTAATTCTGAATCACCCTAATGCCACCTGGGAGGTTAGGTTAGCATTAGGGTGTTTAATCATCAGGTGAAATTAACTGAGGTGTCTAGTCTTCATGTGATCCATTAGTATATTATATTTATGTTATTTCATATATCCAGGAGGCTGAAAGACATGATTAATAACGCTGATATTTTGACACTTTTGCCACAGATTCTAAGATGCATAATATATTTTTTTTCTACCCCAGGCAATGTTACATATCTAATGTAACTTGATTATATAAGGCAGCAATATCATATGTTAATTACACTGTACAGTATAGGTAGTTATCTTATCTTGCAGGAAGGAAAGGGTGATATTGTTTAATATGATAAGACATGTACCTATGTAACGTGATCAAAACCCACACATTTTCCGTGCACGAGAATGGTAAATCAATATTTAGAAAGTGCAGAAACAACAACTCACTGAATATTGAAAGGACATTTTTTCTTCAAAATAACCACATGTTGCAATACAGGTAATTCTTATTGAGACGTTGAACGACACTTGGAAGTTTATACTGTTTTCACTCGCAGTTTTCATATCTGAGGTAATGTTGGTGCCAAACAGGTGTAATGTTTTGGCCACTTTGTTATACAGGGAGATGGATACCACAGACAGGGCTCACCAGTGTTTGTTTTGATGGGATTCACAGTAATATAATCCTTGGGTTTTGAGGTCATGAACAATCCGCTTAGATCTCTGCGAATCACACAAATTACTGCGCTAAAAACTAAAAATAATCGAGATATTTGGGGTCACAGACATAACCCTGGCACTGCACCTCACCTCTGGCAGAGAAAGTGTGTGAGTATAAATATGAGGCGGCAAGAGGTGAGTGAGGTAGGAGTGTTGAGCTAAGGCCATAAACACTTCACTCCTCAGGTGAGTCTTGTGTCTTTATCTACAGCTAATACTGTACCGGGAGCATTTTTACTTACACACACCAAGGGCAGATCCAGGTGGGTCCTGGGGTCAGGATCTTCCCCTTTTCACAAGAAAATTCCAATACTTTTTCTTTAATGCAGTATTGTACTCGGGCATTTTTTTATAGTAAAAAGTATTTACTATTGACTTCAGAATATCTCCAAATATCAAGTGTGCATGGCTTCAAAATGGCCATGATATTGGCCAGATTAAAAAAAAAAAGTCTGGGGTGGGGGGCTTACAGCACCCCCCCAACCCCCTTTTGATATTCCTGGATCTGCCCCTGCACACACAAGATTACAATACCTGTACTTTATTCCCTC